GTAATGAAGAGGCTGAGACTGTAGCAAATCACTGAAGAAGATTGTGTAGATGTGAGAGATGTTTGATTGGGGGGTGACACATGTAGTCGAGGTTTAGTAAAAGCTTTTTTATTTTTCCTTCAGTTGTATTAGCCACAGTGACAGTGCTGTTAATGCAACACTCACAGCAACAATTAATGTAGTGCTGAAATGAACTGAGCTAGAAGACTTGAGAGCTGTGGAAGCCAAGCAGACAGGTTTACCAATTACCAACATTTTAAACTCAACTTGAGTGAACTGTCAAAGTGTGCTGACAAATAGCTGTCCGCTGTGCTGGGAGACAATGGCTTCCTGAGACTACAGGTCTGTTGGTTTACTGCAGTGTTGGACATAAAATAAGCCATCAGACTAGCAGAGTATTGTGAAAATCAACATCATTCTGGCAAAAGTTTGCCACAATGTAACTAACTTAGTCACAACTCTAACATTTTACCTTCTAAAATCATTTGAACTATAGATCAGAGGCCACCGTATATCCACTTTACTCGCTTCTTCTTCATGTCCTGTTTGTTCCTAATTCGCATTTCCTTTCGTGTGTCTCTTTGAGATAAAACCGGCCCAGAAAAACAGTAGCTATAAAAACAGCGCACGCAAAATTAGAGTCACTTAGATGGCTTTTGTTGTACCACGTTGCTCCTCTTCATAGTTAAGTGCCCAGTTAAATAATACTATGCCCCCTGCTCTCAGCGAATATTGTGGGCTTCATTTGACTGCCGTGTTTAAATTGGCCCTAAATTAGACTGACACTGTGCACCACACACTGCAGACCTCTGACTACAACTTTGGAAATTTTGAAGTCAAATACCCACACAAAACTGTCTCTCTTTTCTTTTCAGCAAAGGGATGACTTATAGCATTAATTACATTGATCCATGCCAGCTTAATGAACCAATAATGTGAGCTTGCCATCGCCAAGAAAAGGCACTATGACATAATTAATGACTTACCGCTTACTATGTCAGCACAGCCCTTATCAGTTCATTATGTGCCATCACTCTATGCATTATGAACCTTATTAGACAACCTCCTTTTCACTGCACATGCTATTCACACAAATTTCAAAATACGCTGTGTAAAGGCCAAGCTTTAATTCAATAGCCCTGAGACTTCAAGGTGCTGTTAATCTTCGGTGTGTTGTTCTTGCAGTGTAGTTACAAGGGCCAAGCGCAGCAGGGAAATATTTGTGCATGAGATAAAATATATGCTCTGATGAAGGATTTAGCTCCAACAACATCAGACAATCTATTAAAACACTGTATCATTGGAGAAGTGCATTGTAAACTTCCAGTGTTACAATTAAATGCACACGGTCTAATCCACAGTCTATTGATTTTCGTAGCTGCAGTGCAAATTTCCTTTGTGAGTTTCTCATACCCATCTATTGAAACTACAAATACAAGGCACAGTAAATTATAGATAACACTGGATTATCTCTGTGCACTTCTGAAGCATACTTATTTAAATGATTTCTGCTTGCAAAGACAATATCACTGTATGAAGCGTTCTGAATTTCACTGATTGTAATCAAAGCAATATCCCACAAGAATATGAGCAAACCCAATGACCCAACTCTGAAATGTGCTTCAAAAGCTATGCTTGGTGCTTATGGAAGATGTTCTTTCCTTTTAAGTGAGTGAAACTGATGAACTCAAACTCTGGTCTAGGGTGGCACATTTACTGTCATAATTCTGACCTGAATGCTAATGATAGCTATTAAGGATCGACTCGTTAAAGACGTCGACGGAGCTGTGAAAGCGGCTTGAGAGACTTGGGTGTTTTTTTGTGGATATGATACCGTAATGGGATTAACATGGTATACCTAAACCCACAACGAGATAAGCTCAATGAGGTCCTATTAAAAATACACTGCTGGCAACAATGGAGAGCGAGTGAGAATGACTGTGTGAGTTCGATAGTAAATGTATCCAACTGCAGTTCATTGCGAATAAAAAAAAGGGAAAAAAACATCCACACAGCCTATTGTGCTTCACAAACACAATAAGCTTGGCAATGCCTTTTTCTATGCCACTTACTCTTTATTTTTAATAAAGCATTATCTTCATTTGGCTCTAGACTTGATAGAAATTCACTGGACCAACTAGACAACATACCATTCACTTTGTAGAAAAGAAAACTGGCACTGACGAGGGTTGATATATTCAGTGCAAAGGTATCTCAGTTGTTCCTGACATTGGTTAACAAGTATTATTTTTGCTTGGTGACTGATTAAAAACAACTTTAGATACTAGAGAACACACATATTGTCTCATTACAAAAGTTAATTGCAGCACATTTTTGCATTTTTATGTTAGACATGATGCATTATTTGCCTAGTGTGTGGCAGAAAAATAGTGGATATCATAAACTATTCAAGGACCAATTCTTATATTTTAAACTATGGAAAAGCTGTTGAAGTTACACTTTATATTTAAGACATATATGGGTTGATCTTCCTGAGCAGAAACACACCAATGGGCTTAAAAATGCCATCTACAAAATCAAGGACTGTTCTTTGTTGTGAACCATCTTGGCCTTGCTCAAATATGGACATGTATTCTGAGATGTACTGGTATTTAAGGAGAATTTTTAGGTATCTATATGTGTAGTATGTATTTTTCTGAGAGCTTTTTACTTTTACTGTGGCTACATCTATCTCTACAATATATATTTCTACTTTCAAGTCCTTAGATTTTCAAATTAGGCCAGTTACTTCACATTAAATGACTCTCTCATACAATGACTGCTTCTGCCATCCGTGAACAATTTACCATGGCGTCAAGCAAAGCACAGTGCAGTGTTGGAGTGCAGTCTTTGCATGACCAATAGAAATGAGGAATGACATGAAGTGGGTACATATTATACACATACACATCACTGGGCGCAGAAAGAAAAAAGACATACACAGATTGCACAACACATATTTGGGACCTTCACTTAGCCTAGCAGGCAGAGCAGTGAATGTAACTCTCTTTGTGAAAGGGCCTTAATACATTCAATTGATTTGAACCTAAATCAACTGGAACAATAACACATAAAAGACAATCATATTGGCTTATCTATCACCGGAGCCTAATGCTAGTTAAAAACAATGAAAGAGGGAAAAGCCATAATTTATGTATAATTTCTAGTCGTATACTCAAGGGTTTAAGTAGGTCAGAACTATCAGAATAGTGTTTTTAGAGAAAATTTCCACAACTTTTGGTTACATTACTAAAGCATAAGAAAAGTGAGAGTGATCATGAAGGAAATAGCATGGAAGGTAATTTTAAATGGAGCATTTCTAACAGTCAGAGAATATCAGCAGGAGCTGAGCTCTAAACTGATCACCAACTGGCTGAGTTGGATCAGGTGGAAGGGGAAGTTAGTGGGCAGGGCTGGCACAGCCAAATGTATTATGATGGTGTGGTGGGAACATCTAACAGATCTTAAATTCCTACCTCCGGCAGAAGTTTGACAGCATTCCGAGGGAGACTCGGGAGACTGAGTCTACCACGTGGATCATGTTCTGCACCTTCATTGAGGTGATTGCACGGACCTGTGGCCACAGGGTAGTTGATCTGTTTCATGGTTTTACAGTGTCTGAACCAGATGTTGGATGGTGGTGAAGAAAGCAGTCAAGCTGAAGAATGGGTCCTATTGAGCTTGGTTAGCCTGTGGGACTGAGGGCAGGTAACAAGCGCGGTGTGGCTCTGGCTCCAGCAAAAATTCAGGTGTGGGAGGAGTTTGGTGAGGCCATGTAACAAGATTTTTGGTCTACCTCAAAACAATTCTCGCAAACCGTCAGATGCCTCAAGAGGAGGAAGCAGTGCTCTGCTCACATTAGGTACAGTGGGAGTGGGGTGCTGCTGACTTCAAGTGGGTATATAATCAGGTGGTGGATGGAATACTTAGAGGATCTCGTCTGAGTCTGGGAACGAGACGGATAACTCAGATTGAGGTATCTGTTTGACTACACTTTGGTAGTCTCAGGATCTTGTCTTTGCTTTTAGTGGATGATATAATTCTGTTCACATTATCAGGTGATGGCTTCCAGGTCGCACTGGAGTGGTTCTTAGTTTAGTGTTAAACAGCAGAATTGAGAATTAGCATCTCCAAGTTTGAGACCGCAGGTCTCAGTGGGAGAAGGTTGAAATGCCCACTCTCAGTCAGGGACAAGTTATGATTATAATATGACAACAGGTTTAGCCCATAAAGAACTATTTTTTTTGCTTTTGTCCTATAGATATATCTCACAGAAGTTAAATCAGTACTTCAACTCACCTCAACTTCAGCCTGTTTCTTACCTACTGAAAACAAAATTAAGGCCAGAGAGCCACACAAACAAGCCCAATACCTAACCAATAAGAACGAGACCCTCTTTGGATTGGCTAGCTGCTTTTCTGAATCTCCCTCCAAAACATTTCATATAAAAAGCTTGCCACTGAAATGCAACGTTGTGCTTTTCCAAAAGCCAGCACCTTGATTTACCCTATACCAGTTGATCTTCAACACAAGACCTCTGTGTGGCTGTAACTTTTTCTCTTTCTCCTACTCAGCAGCTATTCCAAGGCTATGTGACTATAGCGCACTTCCTTTCTGCTGAACATGTGAATACTGAAAATACAAATGGATTAAATCTAACACAGTTTTAAATTACACCTCTTACCAGCTGGTTACAGTCACCATCAAGGTCAAAACTTGGATTTTTTTACCTACCTTTACTCCTTCACTAAATGCTTTTTGCCTCTGTGAGTCTAATTTGTGTACTACTGTTGTATCATACACTTTATAGAGAAAGTGGTTGCCCTTGTTTTCCATAACATACTCTTAGTCACTTGTCAGAGATGACTGAGTTTATTTACCTTAAACACAGTTTCAGAGTTCAGGGCTTAAACTCTAAAATGTCTAAGCCACACGAAGTAGAAACAAAACAAAACATGAAACTGCATTGATGATACAATTTGATGCAATGACTGCCTTACCTGTGTTGTTGCGGTAGGGCCCTGAGTCTGGGCCCTGGCTCTGGCTAAGGCTTCTCATGGGGCCCTTGTTGTGATAGACACGTTCTTCATAGATCGGATCTATGTGGTGCTCTGGGGACCCCAGAGGCCGAAGGGGCTCTTGACTATGCTGACTACTGTAGGAGCCACGAGAACCTAGAGTGAAGAAAGAGGAAGTAAAAAGATGTGAGTACAACACAGTGAAAAAGGAATGACAAAGTGAAAGGTAGAAAATGAGGAAAGAAGATGAGCAGGTTAGAAACAAAAAGGATGGAGAGGGTTGAGTAAGAAGTATTTGACATGTGAAAAGAGAGGTAAAATAAAGACATAAATGTGTATATGGTATTTAAACGAAAGGAAAATAAAGAAGCATATGCGGCAACAAGTCTATTTGAATTTTAGAACTGTCCATTGCCATTCTTCACCTACGCTGATGTAGACTAGTGTTGTGGGATAATTAGGACGCTGTAAACAAAGTCGTTCTGAGCAACTAAGGGTTTGGTAGTGTGTGTGTGTTCGTCTGTCTGTGTTTGTACGACTGGTAAGGAAGTGAGAGAGTTATAGTTCAAGCAAATCAAAAGCAGAGAAAAAAATAGAGACATATGCAGCAACAAATGAGATAAGAAGAAATATACAGATTGAGAGAGACAGAAAACAGGGAGTGATGCCTCTGCATTTAATTTTTTTAATCTCCATGGAACACATTGCTGTTCGGCAGCTATAAAATAATGAGATGCAACCCCCCCTTCCCCCTCTCTCCTTTGCTCTGTGTTTGGCAGGAGTCCCACAGAAAAAAACATGACAAGGAAACATTGACAGCAGGCATTTGTTCATTACACAGCAGGACAAATGTAAGGCAAGGGGCCTCCCAATGAAGACGAGGAGACCCAAAATTAAAATTAGGCAAGGGTAGAAAAGTAGCAAAGTGGGGGAATATGGGTTTATATGGGAGGGTTTAGGTGACATGGTGCGAGATAGAAATAAAAAGACATAAATAGTCATACATACACTGAGTTAGAAAGCTATGAGTGACTGAGATGGTCCAGTGGAGCTAATGTCATATCATATTACAATAGTTTTCAGTGCACTTGAAGTCGCATGCCAAGAAAGTTACACGGGATGATGGGCCAGTGCACGAAGATTCAAACCTCCATGTGAATCCATCATCAATGTAACACAGTCAAATACCTCAATCTGTCAGGTTATATCAGAAATCAATGCATATTAATAGACTTTGCCATCTAAGTAGGATTAAATATATGCACACCGAAGAATGAATCAGCCAGAGTTTCGGGTGAGTTCATTGTGAAACCTGGCCCCACCTTATCATGCGAATTCCTGAGGTCAGATGGCCCAGGATGTGAGTGGGCATTAAGGCGTCTGGGGAGGGAACTCAAAACTGGATTATAGATGGCAGACAGTTGGTGTCGTAAGCATGCTGTACAGTGCAGCGAGGAATGCCCAGACCTCTACATCGGAGAGACCAAACAGCCACTTCACAAGCGCATGGCACAACATAGAAGAGCCACCTCTACAGGACAAGACTCAGCAGTTCATCTGCATCTTAAGGATAAAGGACACTCTTTCGAGGATGCCAATGTTCACATTTTGGACAGAGAGGACAGATGGTTTGAAAGAGTGAAAGAAGCCATCTATGTCCACTGTGTGATCTTTGAACAGAGGCGGTGGTTTACAACACCAACTGTCTGCCATCTATAATCCAGTTTTGAGTTCCCTCCCCAGACGCCTTAACGCCCACTCACATCCTGGGCCATCTGACCTCAGGAATTTGCATGATAAGGTGGGGCCAGGTTTCACAATGAGCTCACCCGAAACTCTGGCTGATTGGGACCCACACCCAGTTTCACAGGTGAAACCTCTCAGGTGATTAGAGGATCATCAGGGGGTCCTTTTGTCCCTCTGTGGGGGGAAACTCCCACTAGGTTTAAATCTGGGACTCCCCACCATTTGACCTTAGAACTGAAGAAGCTTCTCGGATGAGAGGTGAAACATCTTCAAGTAACTTAAAGAAGTCCAGACGCTTTTCTTTGCAAGCTCCTTTGACAACCTATTATCCTATTTCTTTGCTATTATGGCAGATGATAAACCGCTGTTGCACCTCAACTCTGTCCTTCTTTCAGCTGTGTGGTTATCTGACTGGCCTGTTAACCTCCCAAGCCTATGAAAGGTTGGCTGCATCCCTTCATACTCTACTGGCCAGCTGTAGCCAGATGGTGAACTCAAACAGCAAGAGGACAAGGGTGTCAGCATAAGGGAAGAAAAAAGAATAATAGATACTGGAAGAACAGACATTAGAACTGCCGTGGACCCCAGGTGAAAATACAGTGAATTTTACAGGACTGAAAGACAATATGAGAATATGCATAAAAGAATACTAATTAGAGTCGTGGACACACCCATTAACAGCATGACTCATCTGAGCTCTTTCACTTCCTCTAGTGCCTTTCATCTTTGAAGTCTTGGTGAGTTGGTTTTATTTCATTATACATTTACTCTTTGGCTCACGGGGGCCCACTCATGGAAGTACTGACCTCTTTCTTTAAAGAGGAAGTGGAACTTTAAGACAAAAATGACAGGCTGATGTAGAGAGTGAGAGAGATCCACTCATATGATGTTTTATTCAGTAAAATATTTAAAATGAATAACAACATGCCAAACCCAACTCTGGCTCCTTGGTGAATTACAGTCCTGCCTGTTTAGTAAAAAATAGAGCAAACTACATTTTTACCTACAAAAATATAGCAAGGAGCTGCTCATTCACCTGTATATTGTAATTCCACCAAGAATGGTAGTATAGTTCTCAACGGCAGATTTAATATTAAAGATGACTGTTACAACATTTTTTCTGAGAAGCATAAATTAAAAAAACAGAACAAAACTATATATTGAATTTCCACAGCTTTGAGTTTCCAATGTTAACCAGCAACTATTTTCAGTGCCAATAAAGCTCCGCATCAAACCACACATTATATATTGTATGCTGCATATATTATCCTGCATTGCTACCATGGCAATATTTAGACCCAGTGAACTATATCACACCAGCCCTTCATACAAAAAGCACAGACAGTAAACGTCTTTTTTAGGCAATTTCTGTTGTACGCAGCTTAACTCTGGCATAGAGTAGGAGCTGTGAAGCTGCTAAGTATCTCTCCAAACATGCTACTCAGATGAACTCTACTGTGCTTTTCCTAGGAGCACATCATCCACTCCGATAAGCCATTTTCTGAGTAACACTATCTACACACAATTCATGCTTGGTAGGATTTTGAAAATGTGGTAACTATCAGACCTTACAGGTGAAATAAAACATAGTGCATTGCCAGCATGAATTGCCATTAAATTGCCTTCATGCAATCAACGACAATCTGGTAGTCTATGCACATGATAGCAAACTGCGTTAATTTTATTTCCCCAGTCCACTCCTGCTCACGTCTTTCTTTTCTACTCCATTTAAAGCCTTCAGGAGACATGGAACCTGAGGCAATGCGTCAAGATCACAGTTGCACCCTCAGGGTAAACCATGAAGGTCATGTTCCTATCACCGTAGCTCTAAGAACTAATCAAATAAACTTACTCCGTGTAGCATGGTTCAATCAATATTCATCTATTTTATTTTTTGTTTCATTTTTTTGATGAAAAAAAATCAAAATACACACAGGAAAAAATGTCCATGGCAAAGGATGCTCTAGCAGAGTCACCAAGAACAACCTTTTCCTTACTTCACTCACAGTTACAATTAAACTACAAAATGTCCTTTCTGAAGTCAGTAAGAAGAAAAAAACACAGCAGATCAAGAAGAAGATAAATCATTTCCTAGTGTATTGAAAGCAATGTCAATATTTATAGACCTACAGTTGGGTCTATAGATATTTTGACACCGGTTTTAGTACATGTAACCCTGGGAAACGCCAAACAGATTGTATCTTAATCTAAATCCATTTGGTACTTTTAAGAACTGGCTGCACTAAGATCAGTGTCCTTCCCTACACCCAGCTATTGGACATGCGTATTGGAAGACATAATTAGGAATTTTAATAATTTTAAGTCATTCTTAAAGCAGGTACACAGCTGTGAGTGAAATAGCTCATAATTCTCAAATATAACTGCTGATAGCTTAGTATATTAATTCTAAAGTTTAAACTTTCTAACGGGCAGCCTCAGAGACACCGATGCCTCCTTCGAAGTATAGCCTGAGATATCAACCACAGCACAGCGATGTGCTTTTTCATAGACCGGCTAATTCAACAGATTTAAACATAGCAATTGACATTTCTAAGAACAGCAGTGTGATGCAATGAAATGTAACAATTAGACTACAAATGTTCCACTGATACGAGATACTACATCTGCAGCACAAACAGACAATCGAAGATACACTGTGAGCGATTTACTTACATCCCCTTAGTATTCATAGTATACTTAGTTTAATACGGATTACATATTTTGGAGGGTTTATGTTTTGTGCAAGCACATGAAATTCTACACGACAGTGCATGAATGTGTCAACCCCCACCTGCCAGACTTCCAGGTCTCTGCAGTGTAGCAGTAGCGTAGAGTTCGTGGGAGATCTTGTACTGGTCAGAAGCGTGATGAGCTGCCAGTCGTTTGGGAGACAGAGTTGCATAGCTCCCTATGCCTGAACTCATCTGCAGAGACGAGAGTTGCTGGATTGAATAGTTAAGAATACTGAGTGTGGCAGCCAAATATGTAACAGCGGGCATGGCTCGTGTTTCAGTTTGATTGGTGTGGATAAAAAGTTTTTGTACTGACATGTTTTTAAGTTTACATTGCCAAATTGGCTTTGTTCAAATGCAAAACATTTGGAAAAGGGTGTATAAATGCAAATGTCCAATCATTTTAGAGTCAAGGATGTAATTTACACAACAATCTAAATATATAACTAAAAATAATTGCCCTGCAGCTGCCCTGTGTTATTATTTGTGTGACCAAACATCTGGTAGAATGTAAATAATATAATAGTAACACCAGCCATATGGTTTTAATGCACTGTATAACTACACAGTGTCATAAAATTACACTTACAACAAATAACACAACTAACAATTACACATCTCTTCAATCGTTTAGAAAAACATAATCACTACTGTAGAATCAGTTAAACTGTAATGTAAATGTATAACAATAATATAATATGTACAAAATGGATACAATAACTAAATTCCTCCAAGCAATCTGTGATTACAGCCACTGTGAAAGAGGTGAGGAGAAAGCTAACACAGCTTTAACCTTATGTACATACAAACTGGATATGACACATTCCCACAATCAAAATAATAAGTATTTCTATGCATTAGTGTGAGACACCATTCAGTTATATAGCACTTGTCTAAAGTCCTTTCACTTTGCAGAAGTGAATTTATATTCCACTAAGTGCAGTTGCATTTGCATTCATTATAATATTGTATAACCCGTGGTAATTTTAATGGACTTTAAATGTATGCTTCACATAAAAATCTTCTCATTTTATAGTCTATTATCACAAAATACATTTCCTTTCTGTGTGTGTCCACATTGTATAACTGTTGAACGATCTACCTGGTGAAGAGGGGAAGATGTGGAGCTGGCCCCTCCCCCTCCTGCTGTGGAATTAGGTGGAGATGCCACCCTCAGGGGGGAACCGCCCCCTCCTGCTGTTGTCACAGCAACTGTGGTGCTGAAAGACAAATGAACAAAGTAGCATGATTTGTTTGCGCGCATATATATGTATGTATATGTATATATATATATTCAAATATTCAAACAACTGATTGCTCTTCATGTTTAAGAACAATCATTTGTCATGTGTCATGTACAGGATATGTTTTTATATGCTGGCATAAAGAAGCTGACAATCAACTTGCAAGACTTAAGTTTAACTTTTATATTCTTTTCTGTTTTTTTATTCTATTGCAAACCATCATCATGTGTTTAGCTTATTCTCAAGCTATTTTTCAAGCCTTTTCATTATTCTAATACGGACTGTATGTCAGTATTAGCAGCAGTATATGCTCTCTACCTGTATGATTTGGCCAATCGATTAGCAGGAGACTGTTTGGGAGAGGAGGAAGAAGAGGAAGGCAGCCGCTGAGTGGTAGCGTATCCTTGTGCATCAGAGGCTGATCCCAGACGTTGAAGTTTACTGGGGGAACCGGACCCTGAGCCTCCCCCTCCTGACAGAGGGGAACCCTGGGCAGGTAAGGTGGCACTGGAGTAGTAGATACCTTGGAAAAAAGTGGAGGGAAAACACCTTAATGAACATGTAAATGTTACAGAATGACAGAGAAATGTGATCAGCCTGATAATAATGATGTGAAATAGATTTAAAGTGGGTTTTAAAAAGCTGGAGATTTTCTGTGGCTGATAACTTGGTAATATGCCAAAAAAAAGATTTATAATAGCAAAACACTGGCACAAAGGTCAAAATTTAGATTTTATTTTAAGTGCATCAGTGACACTTTACTTAAAAAAGCTGTTTGCATATATACTGTATAATGCTTAGAATTTTAGATTGGACACATTCACAGACATTTGCCTGGATATGAGCACACTGGGTATCATTATCAGTGAGTGATCAATTTTAACAATTAAAAAAAAAAGACTAAGTGAGGATTTCATATAAATAACCCATAACTCTGACCCCAGATCAAGGATGCACTAATAATATAATAAAGCTATTCATACTGCACATTCTAAAAATATTCTCTTAGTATCATATTTTTGGTTTCTTGGTTCTTGGTCAATGTCTCCATATGTCATTTGACATATCAACTGTATGTCAGGCCTTGTCATATTATTACATGCAAAGAAATTGGAGATGTGATCAGGCTTACCTGACCCCGGCCCAGTTTGTGATTGTTGCTGCTGGGCTGCACGGCTTGATGTCACCTGAGGGGTTGTGAGGGGAGACAGAGCAACTGAAGATTAGCATGACAGGGAGGTGATTAGTTTGTGAGGGTAAACTTGAGAAGAGTTGAAGGGAGAGACGGAGTTAAGAAAATAAATGGGATGAAACGGAATAAAGAGTAGTGTTCATGAAAAAAAAACTTTTATGCACAATGAGATCAGTCGAGACTTTGAGGGTTTTTGAATGAACCTAGGGAGCGCTAGTAATGAAATCCCCACAGAACACAGAGGGATGACAAAAAAGACGCACAGAAGCCGACAACGAAGTCCTCTGAGCTCAGCTGACTGAAATCATTTCTTGTAAAGCCTTGTCGCACCATCTATTAAAGGTAGAAAAAGTTATGTAGTCAACTGTATAGTCATATTTTATTATCTACAATCCGTTATATTAAAATCCCGATGTTCACAAACAATTAACACAACTAAATCTATTATTATAAACTAGTTAATGTTTAACATCTATTTACAAGGCAATTTTTTAATGAGAACAGTGGACCTACAGCTTGGATGGCATTATGCAGTGAATTCCCAACAGATAAAGAAGGTATGTGAGTCAAAGACAGAATATGAAAAGCCTTTTTACTCCACAAAACAGGCTGGTATATCCATATATATTCCCCTTATTCTCCCGAGACTGTAAAGGGAGCATATGTCAGACCTTGCTGAGCCTTATATAGCCTTGTGTGTAAGTTTGAGCTGTAAAGGTGATTCAGATCCATTATTACTAGACTGACACGGCTTCAGATGTAGAAAGCCATATTATGCAATCATGCAGTTACTGAGTCACTTCGGAGGATTCTCAGTACTGTCTATACAGTAGTTTGGCTCAAACAATCTTAGTAACTGAGTAATATATAGATGCATATCTGAAAAGAGAGATACAAAATGTATATAAATATATATTTACATTTAAATGAAAATGCATTACTTGACATTAATGTATTCTGCTAGTCCTTAGAATATTTACTTTGTCTGTTATATTTTACTGAACAGCAAAAATAGACTAAAATGCATGCAGTTAACACATGCTACACATTATGAAGCGCCTTGAGGCGACTTATGTTGTGATTTGGCGCTATATAAATAAAATTGAATTGAATTGAATTGAATGTTCTGATCATTTGATAACCAGTAGCTCACAATAGCTGAACACACTCTGGAGCTGTGTTTGTATTGAGTTGTGCTGTTTGTATTTGCAGCTGCAAAATTGTGCAGAGAAACAAAACAAAACAAACAAAAAAAGCCCACTTGCTTTCTCAGCATATCTACCACAAATAAATGTAGCAGCATGCACCAGCATGCAATCTCCCTTTTGTTTCCAGTGGCTGTCTGGGTCTCTGGTTATTTTCCTGCTTTGTGATAAGGGCGTGTATCTATTGAGGACAATGCAAGGTTTGAAAAGGGGTTGTGAAATTTACAGTATAATTTGCTGGGGGGGATCTTAGAAAAAAAATACCTGATGCACAGTTTATGGAAGAAAACAGGCAGGAAAGCAAGCAGGTGACACACAAAGAGTGAAAGAACGTATAATTGGTAAAATGAGGATTGCACTCTGCAGTAGTTTGTATCAACATGTGTCTTTCTACATATTACTGGATAAATATGGAATGCCATGGGGCTGGCAGGATGGAGCAGTTGTTCCTGCAGCTCCATCCTCTTCCTAAAAATAACATTTTTAGGAGTTGCAGATTTGCTATTTAAACTTAGTAGAAGAGTTGTGCACAGTTGTGCAAGTGGTCAAAATGGGTCTTCCAGTGATTCAAATGTAGAGTGCTGGAGCACTGGAACTCCGACAAGCTCACAGGACTTCACAGGGAGTCAACCTACAGCACCCAAATCCAAATCTGATATGAATTCTAATAGATGGGACTGAAAAATTTCCCCCCATCTAATATATATTAACTCCTTTTAAAACACAGAATATTTGTTCTTCATCATGGAAATAATGTTTTTTTCTAAAGAAAACTTGATATTGTGGCAGGCAGGAAAGTAAGCAGGTGACACACAGAGTGAAAGAACATATAATTAACATTTGTAAATAACTTAACAAATGTCTCTAAAATTGAAGATTTCATGGTTTAAATAAATATATGAATCAAATGTTGTGTTTATTTGTAAATATTAAAGAATATTGAATTCTAACACTGTAGTTGATGTATGTGATCTAAATATTTTGTACCTCTAAAGCTTTCCAAGGATGAATTACTAAAAGTACTGTAGAGGTCCTTTGTGTTAGTTTAGCAGATTATGAAATCTTGAATGACTTAAAGCTTATGAGACGAAGGGAAGAGCTTCTGTTAATGGTGGCTAATAGACTGTGTTCAACACTACAGATGTGCTACAATGATCAAGACACAAAGTGAGGCCTGAAAAGTGTAGGAATGAGTAAATAAATCAATGGGTGAATAAATAATGAGTAAAAGATGAATTGTTGGCTGAGGTAACAAACAGATAGAAAGCCTGACACACACTGCGAGGGAGAGCACTTTCTCGATCTCACTCCGTGTCATCTTGCAGTGCTGCTCTTTCTCTCCTCCAGTAAAACATTGGGATGTTTGAGGTGCCATGTATCCATGAATTATTAAAATCTGGCCTCTCAGGGTTATAAATATCCTACAAAAAGAGCAGCAACATGCTAGACCTTTTACTTTCTCTCCCTCCTTCAGATAGTCACCATGCATCCACGTAAAGGAATGCAGCCCCCGCGTGCACACACACATACCCAAGCGCACACGAATGGAAGAAGATCAACAAAAACATACATGTACTACCCATGCATGCAAGCTGCACCTGCCTATCTAGCAGCACTGGCATGCATAAAGCTATTCATTAGCAGCAAGCTCTGTTGACAGCACTAGCCCCATTACACTGACAAGCCAAAAACATCAGAGGGGAGGATACACACACAGAGAGATACACACTCGCTCACATGGACAGAGATGGTGAGCAGAGAGGACAGGGAAGGAAGATGAGAGGAGGGGAAAAGAGGACAAGGAACACTGTAGAAAGAGTAAACATTCCTTTTTCCTAATCTGTCCATCCATCTATATCCCAGCCTATCAGTGTTTCTCTCTGTCTTTTCCTCCTGTTTCTTATTTATTAAGGCAAGGCATCTAAGCTTTATCTGAAACTAGCTTTGGTGTGACTGCAGGGGATGTGAATAAATATATTTACAAAAAACACTTCCTACATCATTTTCTTTCAAAAGACACATGAACATAAAATAACAAACCACAGAAATGCACGTGCAAACTGACAGAGGAGAAAGCAGATACCAATTTACCTTTAGTACAAAATTCTGCCCAAAGACTCAGAAACATACCAAAAGCCATTCACGACAAAGTACGACTATTGTCAAATAATTATCTAGTTTAAAACGATTCATTTAAACTATTTGATCTCATTTTGTATTCATAATTATCTGTCATAAATGGAAGATTTATACCAGACGCTGGCTGCTTCACTGATTAAGCAGATCAGTGGGTTTCTGTTTCATACAACATGTGTGTGTGTGTGTGTGTGTGTGTGTGTTTGCAGCAATACTTAATACTGATATGTTAAGAATATGGAAATTCAAAATAATTGGCAGCTGCAGGCTAGAAAGTAATTTGATAGATTTTCTCTCTATCAGCACACTGCTGTGGTTAATGTCTTTGTATCCATGTAGCTTTATTTTAAGTCTTTATAAACAAGACACTTGCAGAGATTTCTCTGTGTGTATTTAATTGTACCCCAATTTGGGTCTGTGAGCATCTCATAACCTGTTTTCTTCTAAACAACTTGCCTATGTCTATCATCACCTTCACACTAGAGACAAAATGCAATGGGCAGCTTGAAAAGGCAGAACTGGACTAAAGCACTTCAGCGGGGCTAATGAAATAAGATTCTGTACAAATATGCACTTCTACCCTGATCAAATAGACTCAGTTATGGTGTCAAACAAATTCACATTTGCTAAGAGCACTGAGAGCCAGAGTTACATGTAGCTGGATAAGCGCTATGCAACACAGTGCCTAAAAAAAGCCAGTAGAGGAAAATGAAGGGCAATGTTCGCAGAGTCTCTGAAAGAAAAAATCAGAGCGACAAGAAATCCGAAGACCAGCATCTCTCAACACTATAAGTACTTACAAGTTTGCATAAGCAAATGGTTTTAATGCAGCTTTACTAATAAACTGAGGAAAACGCACTTCAAATTAGTCACCGTCCGAGCCAAAATCCATACTAAAATGTTGTGACCACCAGCCTCCTAGACAAATGGAAAGTTTCTCACAACACACATTGTGGTTTGCACAGATAGCCAGTGACAGAATTGCTCTCGGTTTTGTTCTCATGAACACTTATACGCTCAATATTCTCTTTGTTCGGAAGTATTTCCCACCTGGTTGTAGCTGTGCACAGCTCCTCCAACTTGCCCGCTGCGCTGAGGAGTTGCTGCAGAGATGCTGTCGCTTAGGGCGAGGGTCTGGTTGCTATGGTAGCTGGCAGAGTACTGGAGCGAAGCCTCCGGGGTGGAGTTGAGCTGCAAGGAACTCTGGGAAAGAAGAGCCGGTCCTACCAATTGAGACAGAGGTGGCGTATGTTTGTATAGAAAGGGGGTTGAGTTGAGTTTGTGACAGAGCAAGTGAGAGCGTGAGAGAGACAGATTAAGAGTGAGTAAGAGAGGGGGTGTGAAATAGGGAAAAGAGAGAGAGAGAGAGCAAGCAGCAATTTAGAGCAGATAGTGCAGCAGTGCAGCACTCCGTGAGTTGGAGATAGCATACATAATTTATTAGCAGAGGAAGACCGAAACAGAGGAACAGAAAGAACTGGAGGAGAAGGAGGAGGAGCAGGGAGATAGAGAGGATGAGAAGAGGAGGAGGAGGGCTGAAAAGAAAAAAGTTGTAATAGACAGAACACCTTGTTGGCTTAAAAAAAACTTTACTCAAGGCGGACCATGATGGTCTGGTCTGGAATTAATTAGAAACATTATTTTATTTTTCCAGTAGTTAGCTGAGCTTTGAAAAACAATGAAATTTGGCTTCAAACACCTAAAATGCCAAACCATCTTCCAAAGGGTTAGAACAAAAGACTATGTCGACCACAATGACTTTTGTTACACGCACACAAATTCACCGTCTGCTTCAGAGCATCACTACTTCAACCACCTGATGAAGTCGCTGCTGTGTCATCAGATAATAATCCCTTCTCTTTGATTCCGATGCTGTGCACATAAAGCTGATATTGATCCAAGCTAAGAACATCATAAGACAGTTTTTTAGATGGACTATCTTCTTAAATGTCTATGAAATGATGTGGTGAACCAAAAGCAGTGGTTACAAGCCACAAGCCAGTCGGCGGTGAGTGCGTAGTAATGTAGGTTTTCCATATATGTGTTTACGTGTGCTCTATTAAGAAGTAATTAGTTTCCTCACATTTTCATGATATGGCAAATAAATAATTCATAACATGTATGTTGCCACTGTAGGTTAGAGATGCCAGACATTGCTTAGTTGCTGCTTAGTTGATCTGCATCTGTGCCCGAGCTGGTAGAGGTAATATTTAACAAATTTTTTAATGCAAATAAATATCCAGTATGCACACTAATACTGTATCTTAGTGTATATAAACATATCCAATCTTTTTTAAAAAAAAAAAAAAAACAGCCCCATTGAACCAGCATATACATATTATCAAATCATCCCATCAAAATATAGAAGTAAGTAAAGATTCTGATGAACAGGGTTAAAGAATGTGGGGATTTCTTTCTGTTTCTCTCTCCCAATTTCAAAAGTTGAACCATCATGGATATGTCCTAATAAAGCCTACAATAAGTGTTTTCCCCTGAGCTTACTGACTCGTTAGTTTCTTTTCTCACTTTAAAGAACAATGGCCCGTTATTATTCTTCTCCTATATCTATTTGCTTGCTCACTCCATCTCTCTTGCTCGCTCTCTTCTCCCTGAATCCTTCCCTCCCTGTGAGCCTCTGTGCTGTGAACCAAGATCAACTCCTCTGCTTCTCGCCTTCACAAAAGACTTGCCTTTTCTCATCTTGATTCATCCCTCGCTTTTTATGAATTATTAAACAGCACTTTGTGTTACGCAGTTTGAGTGGGAGCTCCCAAACTCATCATCCCTCAGCCTTGGTGTTTGTTACATCGTGTGTGTTACGTGACAAAAAAATGCATATGGTTGTTTCTATGTTCAAACATGTGTTGCGAAATTTGTTTTTGCTGGATGGTCAGAAAATAGCAAAGTTGACTGATTATGAAGTAGCTAATAAGGGTTTATTAAGGGCGTGGTATGCTTGCACACATGTGACATTAAATGTGCAAATGCCTAATACGAGTGAGTGTATAGTAGCACATGCATGTGTGAGTAACAGTGGGTAAAATGAAAAACACTGGTTGTAGGGTTCTAAATTCTTTTGTGTCAGTATTGACTCTCGTCTCTGTTTTGATATGGAAATGTAAGTTCGACTCTTCTGATATAAATATTTCAAATGCTCAGTCAAATTATGAGCATCGTATTCTTACTGCAGTCTATGAAATACTCACTCATGCACACCTGACATACACACAAAAGGGTCATTAAAGATTTTAGGAATGCTGGATTTAAAATCGCAATAAAAACCTGAACATTACTTTTTTAAAAAAAAAGAATTAGTGCGTCTGTGTACAGTTACTTATGAGTTGTGTTGCTCTGTGCTGACACTTATGTTCACCGACAAAAAGCCTGTTTAGTAGAACCTTCTGGTGAAGACAGCGACATTTCACTACAGTATGTATTTACTGCTTAGCTATTTGCAGCACTCTTTTTTGGGAAAGAATCACACACACCTATTGAAAGATATCCACAGCCACGTTGTTAAGCTTGTGGTAGAAGCCCATTTGCAAAATGGGAAAAACAGCTGGGTGTGGGACACCCATAACAAGAGTGCTCACAATGAGAGAGCCATCTATTTGGACAGGGACTTGGGCGGTACAAAAACAGTAAGGATCTAATGATCTGGCACGTCTTGTAGCTGTTCGGCATATGCTTAAACAGATAATCCATATCATATTAAAGCAAACCAGCAATTATAGTAAATATACCAAAAATAGCTTATCATGTCCAACTTTTGGTCAGACATGCCTCTTTGTGTGGATGCGCGTGTGTGTGCAAAACATTACATCGTTGTTCCACACTACCTAGCCCACTCTATCAGTTCCAGAAACCACATGCACTGCAAGATGTAACATGTAAGCTGACACACAGAAATTCACTGTGTATCACCCCTCACAGTGTGAGTTCTAAAATGCCATCCATTACTACAATATCAACTATCAAAAAGGTCAGCAGGCAATAAGTGAAATGGGAATGCAGTGTTCCAAAACCAATGACCTGCAAAGAAAATGCCAAGCACATTTAGCATGACCTTATACACGGGCTGCCTCTCAATCATTGTTGGAATTTCTTTATCAGAATCCAAGGTCCACAGGCATTTGGGACAGTTCCTTGTAAAGATTAAGAGAGCAATATGCTGCGTGTGTTCCTTAAATTCACTTAAAACGATTTGCTTTAGAGCAAATAATCAATGAGGATCTCAAAAATCTGGAATAAAGCTCAAGCTGTTTGCTGTGAGCAGAGGTCAGAGCTGTAATCATAGCAAAAATTAAATCTTAACAATAGGATTTGTGGCAATTATTCCACTTATCCAATGGGTGAGGGATAATTTTCCTCCTTTAATAAACAACAGTTAACAAGCATTGGCTACCATTATGCTCACATATTTAAACTAACTACTGCTGCACTCTGTGAAGACTATCGCCACTTTTTAAGCACTGACTGTACAAACCAATTAAATGTGTTGTTTGGAAACAGTAACATGAATTTTGGTTTTGTGGCTTGAAGTGCCTGTTCAAATTTTTAAAAATAAATATGTGTGTAATATGTGGGTAATATGAAAAATTGAACCTGAAATGATATTTTTTATGCATTTTTATACTCTTAGACTGAAATATTTTGTTTGAGTGGCATTTCTGCTAGAGTTGACTCTTGACTATAGCATAAAATAGACTAAAATAAGTATAATTTAAACAGACACCAAATATTTGAAACTATTTCCCCCTCACACACATGCACACATACACACACGATAATAGTGGCAAGTATACTTACGTTCTCCACTGTCTAGTATTCCTGATTCCTGAAGGGAGCGAATGCAGGAATCCACCAACTCCAGACCTGTTGTCAACTCATCCTCAATATCTTTCTGTCCATCAGCTGTGGGAGAGAAAAATGATGAGGGGCACATACAGGCGCAAAGACTGTGAGAAAGAGAGAGGTACGGGAAAGAGAGTATGAGGCAGAGAGATGAGATCTTTCTGGGCAGTAACCCCAATCCTTTCCTCTCACAGTGTGTAAAGCCTTACGCATTGTGACTTGGTTATGAGCCGTGGGACATTTTGATTATATGCTGGTAAAGGGCCCTGATAAGTCTGCCCTGGGAGCTGCCTAGCTGGAAATGAAGTTGCTGTTATAAAAGTGAATTTGATGCACTGGTAAGTATGTGTAAGTGCATTTGGGAATATGTATGTTGTGTGTAGTGAAAATGTTTGATTTTATTTATTTATGTTTTTTAAACATATGGGGTAACACTGTTCTCCCGGGCTAGCTGTGGATTAAAAAGGTGATACATGTTTGCAGGTGTGACTTCACAGATCGTCGGGATCCTGCAATAATCTATTTAGCTATCACAACTACCAAATCTCAATGATTTTGACTATGGCATACATGATTCCTCTAAAAACTAACACACAACAAGTTTCATGCATGTCTGAGACGTTAAAGTCAAAGTCACATTTAATTATATAGCACATTTAAAACAACAACTGCTGACCAAAGTGCTGTACATTTAAAATAATCAAAAGAGATTAAAACAGTAAATGAGGGTGACATAATTTAAGAAAAGAAGCATAAAATGGGAAGAAATAAGGAAAAAATAACGTAATAATGAATTACCTTGAGAGTTCCAGCGAAATTGCTCATCTGAAGAACTGCAATAGAAAGGATGTGGTTACCACGACGAATAAAAAGTAAAGTTTTAGTTAAGAGTAGATTCTTAAATGGCTTTTTCAATAAATCCTCCATATCACTGTGATGAGTGATGACAAGAAAAAAAAAAACATGAGATGAGAAGCGCCACAGGTCACTTTAGCTCAACCTTAGACTCACCGTTCATTTGCACTGAACAGATGTGTCCCATTGTCCTACCCTCTTAGTGTATTTAGTCTGCGTTCCTATGTTTGACCTCTCTTAAGCCAAAATGATACCAGTGTCAGTTCTGTTTCTGTTCCTTTTGAGAAGAAGCTCACGTTTTACCAACTTTTAAAAATGCAACACATAGAGGGAGGAAATTAGAACAGAAAGAGTTTTGGTGGACAAAGTTTATGGGCTGAGAAGTGAATCATCAGCTTTTTCTCTTTTTTTTGGTAAATTTTAGTAGGAGAACAAAAAACAACTCTAGACAGCTTGTGTGTTGATGTCAAATTGTCTTTGTTTCTTCTTTTATTTTTCATCATAGCCTTGTTTGTCTGGAACCTAGCGTTTGCTATTTCTTGTTGGATTTATTTGTGTGTTATGGTTTGATCTCATGTGTACTGAAGCTTTTACTGAAATAATCTACTTTTTAAAACTTATCCTTAAGTCACACTTTGAGTTCTGCATTGATTGGTTCACTCTTTATTTCCAGATGGTGTTTTAGGTAGACATACAATGAAATAATAATTATTGCTATATTTAATTTCAGTTTTTGTGTTTGCTTGTGAAGGCAGAGGGCCACTTCCCCCTGCCTCTACTCGCTGTTATTGCTTGCTCAAAGGAAATTGTTGGATTTATATTGGAAGGTATTGCGATGTGAAGTGCTGTGAGATGACAGTTGTTGTGAATTGATTGATAAAAACCTAAAATAAAGTTCATGAACACACAAACACACCCACACACAAACATTTGCACATGTACAAACTACAGGCAAGACTTTTTTTCTATACTCCTGATGAATGTCAATGGATGGCTGATTAATGGGAGGCTGAACAGAGGTAAAAACAGAACAGAAGAGCAAAAAAGAAACTTAGAGACGAGTATTGAGCCACCTTCTTTGTGATCAATACAGAATCAGACAGACTAGCTGATAGCTATAGACGCTTCCATCTAACTTCATCTACACGATTAGGCTGGTTTTCGGGGCTTGCTGTCTTCTATTTATACTATTTCATATTCCACGGTGATGAGTTTGTATGCACAAAAGAACAAGAATGGATAAGTGGCAGATTTTAATGGTTATCCACAAACTGGTATTGTCCTAAATAGCAAAGACTCATTGTAATGCTGTAGTTAAAGCAATTTGAAGCACAGCAGCCTATATCCCTGTACTCTAATACATACAATGTGAAAATATAATGGAGCAATACTGGAACACTTCAGAGAATTTGGAGGGGCCTGGGATTCAACAGCCAACCAGAAACTCCATCTTTAATACAAACATACAGGTAGGCATCTTAAATAAAGGTTCGTGAAGAAGAGAAATGTAAACATGTGCTACTTTGTTACTTTTTGAAACCAGCTGGACTTTTAAATACAATCTGGCCAGCTGCTACCCCAGCAGCACCTCAGGAAGGGATGCTGGCAAGACAGCTGGTTCTCAAGCGTGGCGACCATTCAAAAGGTCAGTTTTGGCTTAGACTCAACGGCTGGATGCTTCAGTAGACATTATGACCTACTGTCCTCTCAATTCTGGTGTAAATCTTTGAGTTAGACTCTAAAAAGTTTACTTTTATTTCAGTAATATTTGGAAACAAAATGCTGCAATCAAAGCAACATGCTTTGCAGAAGTAGGTCATAGAAGGGCGTGCACACTGAAAGGTCAGTGGCCATACTGATATTTATGTTCCCCTTGTGATAATAAAAAAATGTGTGATGAAATTCAGAAGTTCACTTAACTTACTGCTCAATAATTCTCCAGCTAACATTTACTTTGAGTTATTTAAGTAAGGTGAAAAAAAGACTTCAGGTCATAGGATTAAATACCTGAGTCAGAAGCAGAGATCATAAAAGTCAAATTATACACGAACGACCGTGCATTTAAAGATATATTAAGAATGATTGCATTTTAAAATAAAATGTAAATCTTATTAATACATTCTATTGAGTTCTATTGTGCTTAGAGCGCTGTGCTTTCATGTGCATCAGTAACATATAACAGAGTAACCACAGCAACACTCAGTTCTCCAGTGGAGTCGGTTGCAGAGAAAGAAAGCAATAGAAAAAGAAAACTAGGCATACGACAGTCAGAGAGACCAGTGAGAGAGATGTATTAAGCATAGCATTATTCCACAACATTGCACCCCCTTGCTTGACATGCCACAACACAACGCCCAGCGATTCACTACGCCACTCTCAGCAGCCACACAGCTTAAATCAACACACAGCATCCTCTGCCCTTCCCAGTGAACTCCAAAGCATGCATGCATGTCACAAGTGCGGTAGCTGAAAAGTGCCGTTTTCACCTAGTGTCAAGATATATGCATCTATGCACCCTACACTATTGTGTGAAATTGAAATATTGAAACTCAAACAAAATCTCTGTTGGCAAATCAAAGTTCAAAATCTGAGTATAATCTACTTAATATTGTTCTTTCAAGTGTCCTTTGGAAAGACTGAGGACGATTTGTAAAAAGTGAGATACAAATCTACACTAACAAAAACACGCTATGCATGTTGTAAATGTGTTATGGGACAGGAATCCCACAAACACAATCCCTGATGATGTCTCTAGTCCACGGCTTACATTACTGAACAGCAGCATTACTCTGAAAGAGTTACACTGCCACACAACGTTCTTCACAAATCTTCCAGCTGCCTCCCTTCACAGATAGTAGCACTTAAGAACACTTGTCCATCGTGATAAGGCTGTCAGTGATGATGTATGTATGCATCCTCAGCAAACGCGTTTCTGCATTCACATATTTAACCCCCTAACGCCAAGTTTGTCATATTTGATACATACAGTTTTTGTGTGTTTTTGAGAATTACATGATCAGTGTGATTTTTTTTCCACCTGAAAAACCTAAATGAATTGCGCAATATATTATTAAGCAATCAAAAAACCCACATGTAGCAATGATCTACAGCTAAAGCATGCCCCTGTTTAAAATTTTAACACATACACAGTTATTTACATGCATAAACACCAACACACTGATAAAAACAACACCTATACATACACAAGGTGTCAAACTCATACCATCTAGCTTTAGTTGGTATTTAGCTAGAAATGGTGAATGCTGCTAATAATTACTTTCATGTTATGATGGAATAAATGGCAGGGTTGACAAGCTATTTCATTACTGCCAGAGCAGCATCTAATGGACTGTAATGTCCTACCTGATCTTTTCTTGTGCCACAGCAGGATGTAAGCCTAAACACATCCTGCCTTTTTGGAAAATACTGTTTTTACAGGCATAATGTATGGGAATGTATGTGAATGTTTTACTGTTATATCTTATTAGTATTTTAAGTATTCTATCTATTTTATTTATTGAATTTTATTGTTTTATTTATATTTTGATATTGCTAGGGATGATGCAATGATTGGGGACCATTCTTAATTTCGTTGTTCTCATGACAATGACAATAAAGTTTCTGATTCTGATTCTAAATCCATATCTCATTATTTTTTGCTTTTCTTAGGGACCCAGGGTGGCCAATTAATGGCTATTTCTAATTATCAAGGACTTGTGAAAAAAAATTGTGGTCTTTTTAGTACAAAGTGGTACTTGGCCTACAACAGCATGCACAGTTGCCCGAAAAATAATTTTACTTTTAAAACTTTATCATAAATAATAAAATTTAAAAAGCTGATTCAGTTTGAGAGTTTTCCCTGTGATCGTCTAATATTATCACAAGAACATCCTATGCCTTAACGTTGGACAGACTGTCAAGGACTGAGAATAATTAAGAAGTCAGAGAAGAACGGACTGATGAATAACAATGAGTCTTTATGACCTGACCTCCATGAAGATATGCAATGAGGTCAGGAGTCAAGGTCAGCTATAGCATGGCTGGAAACTGAGGGAATCATCATGCACAAAGTTAGTTGAGGAAGAATAGTGCATAAATTTATTTTTTTTTATTTTTAATCACTTTGTTTTTGAATATTTTTTAAATGTTTCTCACTGAGTGGTGTTTATCAGAGCTGAAATAAATCTGAATGCAGACTCATTCAAGCAAAACAAGGGAGACGATGGTCAATGGAAAACAGCCAAGTCTCGTTAATTTCCTTTTTCTCCCATTATGCTCAAATTCTGATAACAAGCTTGAAATGAGGTTCAGTTATTGGATTTTCCCATAAAACATGTACAGTATATAAGCAGTTATGTATATGAACAAAAACAAAAACTGACATGAGCTAAGCTTGAACGTCTATCTGCCTTTATTTCGAGATTTCGAGATGGATGCTGATTACTGGGTAACAATGTTTTGTTTTACAGGACAAAATTATTAATGCAGTTTACTGGTATCTTGCACATATATATGTATGTGTTAAAGGCACTCTAAATTCCACATGCTCAATCAATGAGAGCAAAATTTTTATTTTGAGAGACAGCTCAAGGACATTCTAATCGTTTGGATGCGGGGCTATTTGGGAACTGCATGTCATTTAAATAATTTGTCAACTTTCAGCATTTTTATTTTCGGAGATTTTTGTTGAAAATCAGTGATTGCTACATCAAGCCTGAAAGAAATGTAACACTAATGCTTATAAACAATCACTGCACACTGCACTTCTCATTAACCACACATTCAAACTAGAAATATAGTGGTTAATGGGTTTTTCTGTTTGCAGTTCACTGTGGGCAGTGCAAGAGACTAGGGCTGGGCCATATCATACCGTTTACGGTAATACCGGTGTAATTTTGGGCAACGATAGGAAAATGAAACATCGAGATAGAATATGGGTAAAACGCGCATGCGCAGTGCCTAAGTTTACATACGCACA